TACCGTGATATATCGCATTACCGAATACCGGCACAAGTCTAGCTCTAGGCTACCATAATTTATTTTATTTGGAAGGCAATTTCAGTAATGATATATTTCCCTAAATTCCCTATGGAAAAAGCAATTCTACAGAATGTCCAAACAACAGAGAGCTGCATTTGAGCAACAACATGTTTAGCTATAACTGCAACTAGGTCAGCATGTTAGAAACAGGCCAACAGTAGACTAAATGAAACAAACTATAGCAAATATTGATTTTTAATTTTTTTTTAGTTTGTTTGTTTGTTTGTTTGATTAAACCTGCTGTGAGGCAGGTTTCACAAGAAATAATGAAGAATAACCACACACTTGGTGAGCTTAAATTTAAGAGCAGACAAGTCTTCAACAACAGTAACAGTAAAAAAAAAAAAATATATATATATATATATATAAAGAATTAAATACAATGTTCTTTCTGTCACTCTTGAATGTAAAGCATTACACTTTATCATTTGTACTGCAAAATTTTTCTCCCAACAAAAGGTCAGGGTCAGAGACAAACATTTCCATTATTTGTCTCCAGGAATCAATCTCCAGTTGCAATCATTCATTCATTCATTCTTTTTAAGGCAATCGTTTCTTTGAAACAGGTCTCTAATTTGCAAAGGCCTCCTCAGGCAGACACACTGAACTAATCTCTGGCATTTTCAGCAGTGCCTAATCTAAACGCTTCTGATTTGACTTTGCATTCATAAGCTTAACATAAATGTGTGTGATTGGTTATAATGATGATTGGTTATAATTGTGATGCTGCAAAAACACATAAAAAGAAATCTGATTATGAGCCAATCTAAAAGTAATGCAGCAATCTATCATTTCACAGGCCAGCCGTAATAGGCATTTTTGCCCCAAAACCCTGGACACTAGGGCTGCAACAAATGATTATTTTGATAATCGATTAATCTAACGATTATTAGACCGATTAATCGACTAATCATCGATTATTTCGCTGATTAATCAGTAGACATTTATTGATTATTCAGCTTTCGCAATGTTAAAATATTGAGTTATACATATTCTAACAAATAAATTAAGGTAATCACTTCAGCTTTTGAAAGTCAATTATGTACAATTTACAATTATGTAATTACAATTATACAATAAATTTATACAAATAAATATATTTGGCACACAAAATGAGATGGCAGAGAAACTCTTATTCACCATTTAATTAGCTATATGAGAAAGTAGCTGAATGACACATCATTCTGCCTAAAATCTCTTTTTGTAAGTCATATGGATAAGAAACAAAATAAAGGTTAAGTGATAAGACGTTTTATTATGGATAAACTATTTTATTCACAACATAATCCATCTTAAAATACCTTATAGGGTTATGATAATCAAAACAGTCCTGAGCTAGATCAAGCTTTGATCTCTACAAACCAAACTATAACTTTAATGAAACGTTTCCCCCCCCCCCACTAATAAAAAGATTTCATCATTAGCTAGCTCCACACTGGAGAGCTGCTTTATCACAAAAAAAAATCAAGTTGTAATTCTAACTGAAAGCAACACTGACTCTGGTTTTTAATGTTTAATACTGTAAAGCTGCTTGTTTTAAAGTCAGCATGAAACGGAAGTTGCGATTGTATTTTCTTCTCTACTGAGGATGACGACGACGATCAACAGCACAAAACATGCCTAAACAGCGTGCGAGAGAGAGAGAGAGACTGCCTGAATGACTGAGTGCGTCCTCCATCAGGTTAAGTCATTTTCATGAAAAAAAAAAAATTAGTTTGCAATGTCCTAAGAGTAATGTTGTCGTAATATCCTAATATCTTTTCAATGTTTAGGGGTAACGTACTCCCTCATGACTGGTGTCAGT